GACGAACAATTAGGTGTATATTTACTTGTGACCACTCAGTGTATCTCTGAGTATCGTCTCACCACAGTTCCGGCATATTTAACATATCAGTTCTTGTTTCTAAGGGAAGGACTTGGTGGATAAGAGAATGTTGTACCTACCAACAGTCAGGGCGCCATCAATCTTGTGTGGATTTCTTCATATTCACGCCTGTACTTGCAGCTAGTCACTGGAAATATCTCTGCTGGATTGTCGTGTATCATGTAAAGAGTATAACCTGAGTTGCTTAATATCAGTTTTGAAGACTTTAAGCTCTCTGCTTCCACTGCTTATATTATAACTACATTTATTGTTTCGCGTAACCTTTTCGAAGTTTGAATAGAGCTTTTACTGAAACATGAAATTTCGCGTCAGTCTATCGCAGGGAGTAGCTTTCACTAGCCAAACTTTGATTTCTTCACGTTTGTCATGTGGCATTTATGTACAGGAGCCATGAGTGAATTTACCACACTACTTTTGTAACTAGTATGACTACTTTTACTTGTTAGGCTTTGCTGATGTGACATTGTTTGATTGGTTGGGTTATAGCCAATGACAATATAAACTAGCGTTATTGTACGATGATGCTGTTCGTTTTCATATAATAGAGGGAATAAACCTCATAATAAGTGCATTTTATACCGATTTTATTCACTGTTACCATGATTATTTTCAATATTGTGTATCAACCAGCCTGATGAGTTCTGGTATTTGACAAACGGCCTCGACTGCATTGGATATAGCAGATATAGGGTGGTTAACAAATTGTTACAGATTCTTCGTTACTTTCAATCATAAAGCCTTAGAATATATTATTTTCCCTTAGTTAGCTATAAATCTATTTCGGGGATTTTAAAATTTCCGCGTAAAAGATAATTCAAAGCTACTTGTATAATCCTTTATGAACAGAACGCATTGTCTAATAATATTTGAAAAAAGTCACACTAAGGCCTCAATAATTGATAGCAGCCAATAAAGTTAAAAAAAACCAAAACATGCTTATTTTTTTTCTGAAAAAAGTAATAAAACCAAAAAGTTAATAAAATGGACGATTAAATGTTTTATCAAAGGTTTAACAAAAAAAATTAAACATTATATTATTGGAACAATAACCAACGGAAGAATACAGCAATAGTAAAATAGAAATATCGAAGTGTAGCTTTGAAATATTTATCTCTCAATGTTACCGATCTGAATAGTTTTCTTTGATAAATCGACTTGTATTAGATACAGTGTGGTGAACCAAGGTCTTGAAATGTAAATAAGCCAAACTCGGGATCTGCGAAGTTGTAAATGAACTGGCCTATGTGGACTGTGGTGCAGAAAGTCAAAGAAGATGAGACATAGTCCTAATTTATTTAACGTTACTTATATAAACAAACCCTAATGATCAACAAGAAACTAAATAGACGGTTGATCATTTTGATTTGTGGAAAACAACAACAAATTACGAGATTGTCTGGTCCTTCTGAACCTTAATAGAAATCAATCTTTATTTGTTTTACTTCTCCTTGCTAGTCTGCATTACTCATATAATCATATTGTGTAGACACGTCATTGGTTCATAAGAAACAAAGAAATTGTCATTTACTGACCAAAGAAGTCTAGCAAGCCGCCAAAAACAGTGATTTGTCAGAGTGACGAGTAAACTATTGAACCATATATTAAAATATATAAACGTATATAAGCAAAGGTTTTAATGTATGGAAAATTTATTATCACTAAGTTTACAACAGATATATAAAAAGAACCATCAAGTTTAAACTACCCTTTATCTACAGGACGAAATTAGCATAAACTGGTTTAATGTTATTTGAGCAATATCTAAAATACGATCGTGTGTGCTTGTCTCCCATTGTTTAGGTTATGACAATTTAACGTACCTAATTTAACAAGAAACAGTTAATGTTCAATATTTATGAGGCTGCTAGTTGGAGTTAATAGCTGTAGTGCCTTGTTCCTTTTGATAAGCCCCTCAGTGGCACAGTAGTATGTAATTACACTAAATATAATAAAATCGTTATATTATGAGCCTTGAAACCCCAGAAACATTCAAAAAGTTGTTAATATATTTTCCTGATGTTCTAGGAAACGTACATGATTTCTAAAATTAAAAAAAAAGTATTTTAAATCCAGCATTCTGCTTCCTATGCTTTTCAATTACCAAGTTGTCAAGATTGAGAGCCCATAGTTAGCATAAAACCCTGCAAACAATCCTCCAGCGAAAGATGCTGGTCACGGAGCTTTGTCACCGAATATAGCCAAACTGACGTATTAGTCAGCTGTTTTGTCTCTACTATAGTTCCATCGGTACGGACAAACTTGTATTATCAATATTTCTTAAAAACTTATAAAGATAGATACTTGAAGGTATACATTTACAGAATTTGCAGCTTTTCCTAAATAAAGCCTCCTCCTGGTGAGCTTGCAAGTAACTGCCATTAATCAGTCTTTCCAGCATCTCATTTCTTCCTATTATTTCTATAGTTTAAGGAATAGTTTCTGTGTGTGTACTGGTAATCACAAAAATAGCATCATACGTTCTCTAAGAAGTTGTTTCCCCAAAGAAATAAGATGAGTCGAGCAGTTCGTGGTCGTAAAGCTCTCCGTTAATCTCATGTCACCCGTCATACATGCTTCTACTTCAACGTCATTCAGTAACACGAGTACAGGATAAAAATAGAAAAATGTAAAGAAGCGTAAAACTGAAGAACTCTGACGTTTATGTTTGCTTTTTATATTTCTGGATTTCATCTTACGTCTAAAGCAGAGATGGGGGCGTCACTTAATTGCTGGCTTCAAGTAAATTCTGTGAACATTCACCAAGGTTATTAAACAATATTGGCGGTACTGTGTTATTGAGGTAATGATTAAAAAACTCGTATCTCACACATAACTAGTCTTTCTGTTAACTTTCTCAAATCTGGCTATTACTCTTTTGTGCCACTAGTTCATAAAATTCGTATAACCGTGTAAGATTAATCACTGTTGACTTACAGTATGTTATTTTTGTCAAACGTGAGCTATTTAAGACAGTCTGAGTGATATTAGTAAGCTTTTTTGACTGTTTGACAGGATATGAAATACAGGTCATGAAAACTTTTTATTTTCCAGGATAAACTGTTAGATAAACTTGAAGAACAAGAACCCGAACTTGCCAGATCACGTGAAGAAGAAGTGAGTTTTAGAAACTATTATTCTTTTTTCATTGCTGTTGTTATGCTTATTTTCGTTTGATTAAAGAGAGTTAAGTACGTTATATCAAAAAAATTTTGAATATGCAGATCAGCATGTAACATAACCACAACCAATTTAAAGTTACTGTGTATCATAATGTATAAGAGCTATATTTTAGGGGCGTAGCTAGAGGAGAGTTTCGAGGGGAGGGGGTATCGAAAGACCTATCTAATATTTTTATGATATATTTTAGTAAACGTTTGACTTTCAAGTAAATCCCTTAATCTACTTTTGTAGAAGGAAAGGTCCGAATTTTTTGAAAAAAAAGATCCCCTCCTACTACATACACACTCCACGCCCCCCCCCCCCCCCCAGTGGCTTAGCGGTAAGCTTGAGAACTTATATTGCTAAAAACCGGATTTCGATACTCGTGGTGGGCACAGCACTGATAGCTCATTGTGTAAGTTTGTTGGTGATACCTCTGCATTTTGACATTTCTTGGGGTTACATAGGTAATGTAACGCTAACAAAAATTAATCACTTTTGGGAAGGGTATCTAACAGCCAATTCCGACGCATAATATCGATACACCTGGATCATAAAACTTTCTACAGATCGGGAATTTGGAATTTCCAAGATGGCAATATCCTTTATACTTACTGACATTGGAAAACAAAAGAACGTGAACCATTGTGTGTATATATATATGTAAATAATATAGGGCAATTGTATATATATATATATATAATACAGGGCAACTGTATATATGTATATAATATAGGGCAATTGTGTATATATATATATATGTAATATCGAAGTTTTTTTATGCAAAAAGAAAATGCTGTTTCGATTACCAAATTTCAAAACTTTTTGCAGGGGAACATACCTCTGGACCTCTCAAGCTCGACGAACAGTACACGTACGCAATGTTTGGTTCGTGAACACGACTACAGTAATATATACAAATTATATTAAATTATATGTCTTCTCATTTTCAAACTCGCTCCGAAGGGGCCTGATTTAATAATTAAAATTTACTAACGATTACATAGATGTTGTAAGTGGGTTAACGTTAGTTAAGCTTAATTATTTTACCTACTAGGATTTTCAACTCCAGTTAAATCCCCTTGCGAGTAATTAGCCTCTTGATTATAAGAGGCTTACTTTGAAATGATTTAATCCTAACAAGGTTTCTTTATGCACAATTAAAATCTTCCGTCTCATAACATAAAGATCAGCTACTTGAACGTAAGAAGCTTGGTATGGAATTATGTAATCCTTTTTCTATCATGATACCCCATAGTCCAGGAGAAATCCCTCGTGCGTACAAGTAAATTCCTCAGTTAAAGTGATAGTTATAAATAACAAATAATCCAATAACGAAATTAAATACCAAGGCGCGTTTTTCTTCTCTACAGGAACACTCTTCCTTCTTCTCCTAGCTAGATATAACCCATTCGTTATATTTTGCTTATATTAATTGCTTTGTTATAGTAATTCAGTAGGTGGCGCTGAATCATTCGAGTTATGCCAGTGAAAGAAGAACGATATGACTTCAACAGTGAATACTCACAAGCACTGTAAATATAACAAAACGGCGATAGTTTGTAATGAATTATTGTATGTTTATATCTGAAAACCAGTCGTTACAGCTGATAATATAATAATGAAAGTCGACGAGATGAAATTGGACTAAATCATATTGATTAACGTCGGTGCTTTTTCATTCAAAACAACTAAACGTACCCCTTGATAACTTTTGTTGAGCAGTGTTAACAGTTTCGCCATCTTTCTCACTTCCGACTACTTTTGAGCTTTATAGGGTTCTGCATCTATAGTGGTCTCGCACTGGCATCGAAAAGTCACGTGATCTATAGTTTACTCCACCATATTGGACGTCAAGTGCTTACGTTCGTATTAGGCGAAAAATGACAAACTTGCCTTTTAATATCGTGTTATCGGATGATGGTTACAGTTGTTTGGTGTCTCTGCAATAGTGAAAATGCGATAGCGTCCATGAATAAAGATAAAGAGAATTCTGCTAGCCATAAAAACCTATTAAATATTAAAACAAGTTTGCATATTCAAATCAACAAGTCACACTAAGGATGTATAACAGCCCTTTTCAACGTAGTATATTCATACAATCAGATCATAAAGATGTATTCATATCGGGGATTTAGTATTTCCAACACAGGGATATTATTTATAGTTAATGCATTGGAAAACAAAGAAACTGAATCAACTTGGGGCACCAGGACTATCTAGTAAGAAACCTGAAACAAGTCGCTCCTCAGCCGTGGTAAACAAAGTGCGGGGGTCTTGTACAGGTGACAATCTGCAAACACAAAGGTCAGTAGCAAAAACTGTCCACGTATCCCAGGGAACAGTATACAATGTAACAAGACGAATCTCCATCTGGACACGAAATGAACAAGGTATGGGTTCACCATGATAAGGCTTTCAGTCATACTTCCAGTTCAGTGGTGTAAGTGTGCCCCCGCAGCCCTCGCAAATGCAGGAGACCCGAGTCAAGAAGGAGCCCTAATCAACCAGAATAGTAAATATAATTATAGGGAAATAAATGTAGAGTGACCAATTACTTTGTATGGCGGGGGGGGGGGGCATCTTTTGTAGTTACGCCACTAATCCAGTTCAACCGTCGCATACTCCAAGCAACTGGACATAGAAGAAATGATAAGATAATAAATGTAGGGGGCCCAATTACTTTTTATGTGGGGGGCATCTTTTTCAACTGTCGCATACCTAAAACAACTGGAGAAAGAAACGGATATTCATACTATCCAGTACAATGGCATACCGATTAAGTCGCCGGACGAATCGTCTACGGATTTTTATACGATCGGGCTTTTAAAACTGAAGCAGGGAAACCAACGACCTTGTACAATAAATGACCTTTGTAAAATTTGCAGGGAGGAATGGTGTGCTTCGGAAATGACAGCCTTACGACGGAGGCTTTTGCAATGGATACTAGGCTGCAGAGTTATTGTCAAAATGGACTCTCATCAGCTAGAGTATGACTGAATGTGGCGACATGGATTGTAATGACTTTGTAAAGCTCTAAAATATATAACGTACTCAACCTCTGGAGATACATTAAATTATATGTAAGCCATGTATTTGAATACGTTTTGAATATATCGTAAAGTATGATTTCGACTTATTTGAGGCACAAAGTTTACATTTAATAAAATGAAACTGTATTTATTCATATATGCATAAGCTCTTGGAATAAAACGAAAGTTATGTACTAAATTAACAGTTGAATATAACCTACCTGAAAACGTTTTAAATTACGTTTCGTATTTACTAAATTTTCTCACAGTCTCAATCTATGTTTAACAATATTGTGTATGAGCGAAAAACATCAATCCGTAAAGGCATTTTGCATAGTTTGTAATATTCAACTTAGTGTTAAATAGAAAATTATGTTTTTCAGCATTCTTATATTCTGAGTGAGTCGATTATTTCTCTTTGTTTAATATATTATTTAAAAAAATCATTAACTGTAATCAGCTTGTTTGAGTCTTTTCTTCTGCATTTAACCATGTCATAGTTACATAATCCAATACTTGTAATTAATAGGTATCCTTGCTAAAGAGTAAAAGGAAACAATATAGCGATTTTCTGAGGGCCGCAGAATTTTCTTAACACTTTAGCTATCGAGACGTTATTTAAACATAGGATGTATATAAGAGTAATGGTCGATTGTGGCTTCGTTACCCTATCTCAAGGTAGCCTGCAAATATCAGGATAAAAATATGGATTTTTATGATATACAGCTTTTTTCTGTGATATTATGAAGATATAAAAATAATTTAAATACTTTTGATTTTCTGGTTAAGTATAGTAGGTTGAGAAAACACCGACGGACGAAAATTGGTGGATAGGAATCAAAGTAATTGAGTTAATTATCATGATCACAGATAGTATATATATAAAAGACATGTGTACTTGGACGGGAACGTTAGTCTTTATTTTTATCTTGGTTATCAGGTGTTCATTTGAGATAGGGAATTCCATAAGCAAGTGGAACTGAAAGTATTCTGGTCAGACATTGTCTGTACTCAACCGAGAATTCCAGTAAATAACTCGTTCTAAAGGAGTTTTGCTAAATCTTTCTAATCAAAGTTTCCATTGATGTATGAGGATTTTAAGAAATGAAATATTTCCATTCGTGTGAAAATCGGTTTATATTTCATCGTTTTCTCAGAGATATTTGCCCCAGGACCTTACCATATTTTTATAGAAATTTACCGATTATTTATTCAGCAGTGGGTAAGCATGCAGTCACGAACAGCTGACCCATTTAAAAACGTGCTGGTGAGAACACTAGTTTGTTGACAAGTTCTGACTTTAGGAAGCATTATATATAAATAGATATAAGCACACTTATGAAATAGTCCAAAACAGTTTACCAGTACCGAAACTGGCATAACCACGGCTAGAGTTTCATTTAAACTTCGTGGTAATTGCTAGTCATGAAGCCTGATGGCTTCCTAAAGTTACTATTTAAGTTGTTGAAATTCACATGGTCATTGAATTTTTTGATTGTTTCTTTCTTCTTATTATTTTTTATAGAAGTTTTGCCATATTGCTCTTTGAAATCTTAATTCTGGCCGGCTGTAGGCCCTCAATATGTCAAAAATGTTATTGTGCCTGCTATTGATTTTCGTGTTTAACTGGGCAAGGCTAGGCCTAGTGGTTAGCGTGTCCAAACTGTGAAACCGAGTAGTCATACTGTCAGTTAAAACGTGCTACACAATTTGAATCTTTGGATGCTCTACAATTTTTTAGTCGGACGTGAGTAACTCAACAGTTGGCAGTGGGCGCTGTTCTCCTTTTTATCTATCAATTAAATATTATGGACGATTATGCGCACATAACCATTATATAGTTTTGAGCGAAAATTCTCACTACTATTATTGTTTTGTGTTTAACTCCGAAGAACTTGAGCGGTGGTTGCCGGGGTTGTCACCTGTAGGTCTGCTTTGTCATGGTTGTCACTAAACTATTAATTGTTTAAACTTTTTCTTAGTGTTTTACCTAATATTAAATAAAGGATTACACTTTTAAGCACTGACTCGGAAACAAACTCAAAAATGAGGGCTTTGTACTCCAACCATCTCTGTAGTTTTTAACATGCTGGCCTCTATAAAGTTATTTTAGGATTGACCTTTCTGAGTTAGAAGAATTCATGTGCCAACCAGCGTCCTTCAAGTTTTTCAGGATATCTCACATTGTATAACTTTGTCTGAAAATTCTAATTATGTCACTACTTCTACGTGTGCTATAGTTTCTGGAATTGTAGGTCTCTTCTGTAATAAATCTCACATGAAGATCCTTCTGTAAAACTTAAGATGATTTCCACTTACATGATCACTGCGCTACTGCCAAGAATCAAGTTACAAATACTTCTTTAAATGCTCCTAGATTTGCCAGTTTTGGTTTTGTGTAACACGTTTTCTAATGAAAATTCTGATCCTATGTTGTTGTTTTTTCAGTCAAGCCTCGCTTATACGCGTCTGACATCGGTTCAAGATACTGTGCCAAATTATATTAAACCTAAATTCAATATGACTAAAAACACAAACAGCTCAAAGCTGCAATACTCGTACATTTCAAACTCCTACAATTCTAGCGAAACTGATAAAATCCTTCAAAATAAGCATGTTATTACTAGCATATCTCAAATCCGTGTTAATACTCCTTCTCTAATAACCTGCAAATTGAAAAAGTGCCTCAACATATTTATCTCACTTAAGATAAGAAAATAACAACAGATTTCGCCTAACCGTATGATCAAAGTAACGACTGTCAAATAAATAAAGAGTACATATCACCACTGGTTAATCAGTCTATAATGTGTGACTGAAAACCGTGAACATTTTCACGATGCTAGTAAAAAAGAAAGAAAGTATAATCTTATAAAGTTTGTTTTTATTGTTTCTATCGCATAGCACGTGGAGATATAATGATTAAGCATGCTAATCGCAAAGATAAAGTTCCTTTTCAGGTGGTTAACGACCCGTTACCGCAAAAACGTGCACCGCACTTTGGGACCGTGGGTACACAATAAACATAACGGTTAAATCTTACTATTCGATCAGATGAGAGTAGCCTAAGAATTGGCAGTGGATGCTGTTCATTGGCTACCTTCCATCTACTCTATTATATCAAATTAGGGACGTCTATGCGCAGGAACATCTTATGTACTTTTACTCGAAACTGTAAAACCAAAGAACTTTTCCATGTAATAGATGAATCTAAAACCACACTTCTTGGTGGTAACATGAGGCGTTAATCCTACTTTAAATCAACACAAAAACTGGAGAATATTAAACCAACAACGTATTTTTCAAGTAGTAGTTCAACAAATAACAGCTATATGGTTACAAATGTAGTTTTCTTTGGGTTTCAAAACCTCCACATAGTACCAAATATGGTTACAAATGTAGTTTTCTTTGGGTTTCAAAACCTCCACATAGTACCAAATGAAAAGGTAATATTAGTATATAAACGCTAAACATCAGGACATACTCATCTATATATGTATATATATATCCAAATGAAAAGGTAATATTAGTTATAAACGCTAAACATCAGGACATACTCATCTATATATGTATATATATATCCAAATGAAAAGGTAATATTAGTGTATAAACGCTAAACATCAGGACATACTCATCTATATATGTATATATATATATATATATATACAGTGGTATAATAAGATGTGTTTGATATGTGCGAACCCAAAGTATATTAAATGTGTCCACAACACAAGAAATTACGCAACCGAGAGAGGTAGCTATCAGTACGGCCTAATTGTTTGTCTGACAATCAGAATAATAAATATTAGCTAACAAGAGGCCCCCAGTAGTACAGCGGTATGTCTGCGGACTTATACCGCTAGAAACCGGGTTTCGATACCCGTGGTGGGCAGAGCACAGATAGCCCTTTGTGTAGCTTTGTGCTTAATAATAAACAAAAACAACAGGCTAATAAGCAAAACAAACAGGAAAATATACAAAGCGTCTTAACAGTAACTGCCAGCACTGTTAATAATTAAACACTGTCTAGAACATTTTAAACACATTTAGCTATTTTTATTAAGTTTTAGTTAGGTGTACTTGACTTTAAAACCATAGCTGTCTGAGTGCCTTTCTTAATAGACCAATTAGGTCCTTGATAGAACCTTAATTTACCGAGTTATTACGCTTTATCTATAAACTCGATTAGTTGATGAGATGTATTAAGTCAGTTCTTTCTCTTTTACTGAAACGTTTCTTTCTTGTTTTAATCAAGAAAAGATCAAGTTTTGAAGCGATAATTTACAGTTGTATTAAAGATTTAGCATTAGTATTAACATACAATCTCTTAATGAAATTGTAAAAACAGAACGTTGAGAAAAATACAGACAACTTCAGGAGAAAAAGAAACTGTCTTCCTTTTCACTCTCAAATGTATCTAAATACACCCAGCCACCTTTAAAACCTCGAAAAACCTTTCTTGTTTATATACTCTTTATCCTGCACGCACGCACGCGTAATGGATCATCCTTATAGTAAGATGTATAAAAGCAATATATATACTTCTGTGATGTGTATTGAAAACACCTTGGTGCAGTCGTGACATGGTACTTACTTACAGCAGCAGATTAGCTTCGTCAGCAAGCAGTTACCTTCTGTGATGTGTATTGAAAACACCTTGGTGCAGTCCTGATATGGTACTTACTTACAGCAGCAGATTAGCTTCGTCAGCAAGCAGTTGCCTCGAGCTGTTTAACAACTGCGAAATATTTACTTCATCAGTCCAGGAATGGTAAATAGTCTGCAAAGATATTAGTGTACGCAAAAGATTTTGGAGAATAAATTAACATTACTGCAAGTTTTTTGCAAGAACAAAAGATTCGTTCATGAAAACAGAAGACGGCTTTCATATAAAAGTTGTGATGAACTTATCCCTGATACGCAGTGAAAATTCAAGTTCGATCTTTTTAACAGAACTGTCGACATAGCCATTGAATCCGTAAAATACGGGTGTATCGGCAACAAAAGGAATATTGTTCCTTATTCTGTTTCCTGTATAGCTTGTCAGATATTACCTCAGGGACTGTGCTGAAACATTACGTAGATTTCTAAGTCGTTTTATCAGGCGGCTAAACAACTGATGATAATGCAAAGCTACGCAGTTAGATATCTGCAGTCTGTCCACTGCTAGAATTCAACTTAGCGTTTCAAGTCTGCAAACGTACCTCTGACCCACCGTATGAATCATTCTCACATACAATTTACTTTTTATTGTAACAAATTTTTTGTTGACAAGTTTAAGTTGTGCACGTCCACTGTACTATCAATTTTTTTGTTGACAAGTTTAAGCTGTGCATTCCACTGTGCCGTCAATTTTGTATAGTAAGCTTACTCATAGTCAATTTAAATCTTTTTCTGGAGAAGTGAAACTGAGATAAAGCGAAGATGTTTTCTGGAAAGTTACTTTAACAAACCAAGTTATCCATACTTGAGTTATGTCTTATCTTGTAAAGATACTTTAACAAACCAAGTTATCCCCTATTGAGTTATATCTTATCTTGTAAAGATACTTTAACAAACCAAGTTATCCCTTCTTGAGTTATGATTTATCCTGTAAAGCTCAAACTTACGTATTCAAGAAAGGGGTTCGAATCCTGTTTTGTCTCAGTATTCATTTCTTAAGAAACATTCTATCTTCAATGCTAGTATGCCACTCTTATAAAAATATTATCGCCTATTCAACGTATTTATGATAGTTATATACATTCTATGTATCGCTGTAGTAAGTGTATAAAAATTCGGACATAACTCATTCTAATTTTATATTGCAGTGCGCAATCTGTATCACGGCCAAGGCAGTCATGCAGACGTTCCCCTGTGGTCATCGAGTGGTCTGTAGAAAGTGTTTCGTCAAAACCATTCAGATTACTGTCTCTCAACGAGTTTTGCCTCTTCGCTGTGTTGTCTGTCGTACCAAGATTATTCGACTTAGACAAACCAGTCACGACCAGAACACCCCTACACAATTTGATTCTTCACGCTCAAACCGAGATATGAAGATAGAAGATCACAATTTGGATAACTTTACTCCCATTAATACTGTGATGAAAGAACGAGGGGATGTGCCCGTATCTACAGAACTTCCCGACAATTTCCAATCAGCTCCAAAGGATTCTACTCACAAGTACAAGAAAAACCAAAATTTCACAACAACAAACGCACAAATCCCACAGTCTTCCCGTCGAATCCCTCCACTAGTTCTCACATCTTCATCCACACCAGTCATCCGCTCACTTCAACAACCTGTAGTAAAACAAAATAACTCGTGGTGTGCAAATTCTGATCGATTCCTTAACCCAAACTACTTCTTATCCCTTAATGGTTCGTCAATACAGTATAATAAATTACTACCTTCGTCAAAGACAGGTAGAAACCTTCTCGTTACTTCTGTAAGGAAACAACCTCAGATGTCACTGTGTCAGTCCTCAAAACTCTTCCCCATCCCAGAGAACGATGAACAGGAGCAACTGAACGAGAAAGGAAACGTACAAAACCTTGCCCATGAGATCGTTGCTCAAAACAAACAGTTACAAACTTTTCTGACAGTTAAGCAACATCAGAGCAGTCAACAGTTGAAACTCCAGTTTAATGAAGAAATACTTTATGAGAAAAAACACCTGCAGTCAGGAGAATCAAATATTACTCGAAGAATAAGCCCACAGATGGAGTCAGAAGTCAGTCAAAAACATAAACAAAAATCAAAAGCAATTTTAGGTGGAAATTCACAGCGAACCAAGTTATTTTCTTTCAAATATTTTCGTTTTCAAACTCCGTTCAAAGTATTCAGACGAAAACTAAAGGAAGACGAAAGCTTATTAATGCCACAGCAACTGCATGCCTATCACAGATAAGCCAGTTAGTTTGGATACTTCTTTTTTAATCTGATACACAGAAATTGGTGACATCTCTGCAGACGCTTGTCAACAAGATTAATAGTAATCCTCACCAAATATAAGGAACTGGAATGCCCTCATTATTATGTTTTTGTAGATAATATGCCGAGTTTTATACTTTTGTTTCATGTTGAAAGTGCCTTATTTCGAAACAATTCGAAAAAATAAAAATTTCTTCAGTTAATGTTTAGATAGTGAGGTTTATATTGTTTATATTTTAGACTTATTTTTACTCATACCTTAATGTTTTTGTTTTTTTATGCGTATTTAATTTAATTTTACTGATACTTGATTTGAAAGTCTTTAACATTAAAATGATACTTAGCTTCGCCATTTTATAATTTATAATTTTGTGCAGGCTTAAACTTATGATCTTTGCTTTAAACTGATGTGCAGTGAAAATCATTTCATCCTTCATATTGTTACTTATTTGACATTGTAGTCTAAGACGTAATCATCGTCACCTACACATTCTGAAAATGTTGTAATTCATTTGCTTTTTGTTTAAGTCAACTAACACTTGACGTCTTTCGAACGCAAGTACTATATACATAAATTTTTTGATTATAGGCAATCTAATTTCAAGCTTGAAACTTCTATTGAAAGTGTGGCAAAGATGTTTTTAAATCTTTATGTGTTGTCTATAATAGGCTTAGCAACACATGTAAAATTTTATGAAATGTTCAATACAAACACTACTACTTCAATGTTTAATGATGATAGTATTTTTAATTCATAAAAAACATGCTAAATTGTTTAAATATTGTTAAAAAATGTATTTCCTTAAGATAACTCTGAAGGTACGCGATCAATGGCATTGAAGATAAAAATATCATACGTCACAGATCACGTGCCAATCTTCATCATCTGTAACAGGAAATCTGCCATAAACTGAGATCTTAGTTCGCCTCAAAATTTCAGTCTTTCTATTATATATGTATTAGGAACTATACAGGGAAAATGATAGTCTATAATATAGTTAAAATTGTAACTATATTTTAACTTTTACAATGTTGTATTTAAACAAGGGATATGATATAGAAAAAATACTTTACGTGTTCTCACAAGGAACACATTAACTCACCTTATATCTTTAAAAACTGCTAGTTTAGGATCAGTCCTTAAGAATACCATATTTTTTAGATCGATTGTAGGTTTTGACACGTTTTAAAAACTTGATAGTGTCTAAGTTTGTACATTCATGAAGTTAAATATTTTGTACTTGAAAATAGAATTTGATGCATGAAACTTAGAAAACATGTTTTCCTTTTCAAAGTGCGTAGTTATATTTTATATTTCTCTTTCGCGAACAAGTATAGAGGAGGTTTCTAAGCCTTTTAAGTTTTAATCATTAGATTTTTTGTAACATATTCAGCGATGTTTCAAAAATATAAATGTCGTTTGATTTGTTGTTCTAGTATACGTATTTTTCCTAGTTGTGCCTTAGTGACGTGTCTGTAGTAAAAACTGAGATGTTCAGGAAATTAAAGATGAACGTCTCTAAAAATTTGCATTAGTTTGAGTTTCTTGCACTGTGACTACAGATCAAAACACGAATAATATGTGGTGACAAAAAATATACATATGTTGTTCAACCAATTGAAAGCCAACAAGCCTTACTACAGTATCAAAAATTAGTTGTGTACTTAAAGTGAATTAATTTTTAAAACTTTCCCACACGAAACTTCAGACTATTAATAAAACTTATAATGGTAACGTTAACATGATGTTTAAATTAGAAGAAATTAAAGAAAACCAAGACATACAATAAGCTATATATGTTTAAGATATTACAATATCTTATCTAAAAGTAAGGTTTATATTGTTCAAACATTTCTATTTTATGCTTGAAGTTCGAAAGAAGGTGCTCGGCTCTCAATCTGAGGATCGCAGGTTCGAATCCACGTCCCACCAAACATGCTCGCCCTTTCAGCCGT